TACACATACATATATTTAGACTTGATAAGACCATTGTTCAAACTCACTAGTTAAAACCCTGTGACAATTTCCAACTTGATGTTTCTTTAGGTCAGACAGAGGTGCATTGGAGCCAACTCATGCAGGCTTACAAAAGCCAGTGGTAAACATCTCTCCCCAAATCTGCATTCAGTGACATCAAATTGGTAGATTGAAATCAGCCATGGTCAAAATTATTTATTCCAAGGTCATTGCCCACTACTGTAAAATAAACTTAATTATGCTGGAAAGCAAGTGATTTAATATTTATCTCTGTACGACGGGGTCACATGAACTGTAATTCTATAACTCATAACATATTGAAAGAAAAGAAAATCATAGACCAAAATCCTTCATGAACACAAATGTAAATATCTTTATCAGAATATCAACTAATACAATTCAACAAAAATGAGTGGGAGATAGAGATATGAATGCTATTTAAAAATTCAGAATTAGCTAAATATTCTAAAATCAATTCCTCTACTTTAACAGATTATCAGAATAAAGAAAAAGAGCATATGGCTTTGTAAGCAGGTGTATTAAGTAATTTAATTAAACTTAGGTTGGTAAAAATCTGAACAATTTAGGACTGGAAGTACATTTTCTCAACATGAGTAAGTATTAAAACTATGAAAAGTGTACAGGAAACATGTTGTATGTAGATGAAATATCAAAAGAATTTTCCATAGAGAAAATATGAAACAAAGCAAAGACGTTCACTGATAATCCTCTTCTTCATCACTGCCTCCTATGTTTCCACCACCTCTCAGTAGCAGCTTTCTGGGGAACAATTGTGTTACACGCAGGTTCTTGGAGCACTCTACATCCAAGCCAAAGCATCGGTGAAAGTGTTCAGGAAGAAATAGGCAATATTATAAAACGCCTTAGACACCTCAGGCCAGGTAAGCTTTTAAAGAATTTCGTGGTGAAAGTTAAGGAATGGTGGAAATGCAAGCGGGATCAAAGTGGGCTAGGCAGTGAACAGAGGGTTAGGAAGTAGAGAAAGAAAGGAATGAAATTCCAAAAGCTTCAACTGAAAGAAAAACAGCAAGAATATTAAACACAGGTAGATATGTGATTGAGGGATGAGTACTAAGTATATTTACATCATTGACCTAAAGCATCTTACACGGTATAGAAAATAGGAGTGAAATTCATAGGCTACGGTCCTTTCTGGAAGGTAGGAACTTTCTCGTGTTCCTGGTCAGACCAAAGAATAAGGTTCTGCATGTGGCTCTCCCAGGCCACAGTGCTCGACAAACAACATCTTTGGGCATACATGTGGGCCTTCCTCTATCTCTTAATGAAAGGCAGAAGGTGCCAGGTCTCTTCACTCTGCCGTATATGTCACAATTGTTCCCCAGATATGTCAGATATGTCTCTGCCGTATCTGTCTGCTTTTCCTTTTGATGGTCCACATTTGACCCTTCAATTTTTTGGTGGCATTTATTTCTAGAGTGATCTAGGCCATCACCTTTAAAGTTTGTTTTCATGAAAAGAAAGAGTTTTTTTTGGGGGGGTACCAGGAATCGAACTCAGGACCTTGCACTTGCCAGGCAGGCTCTTGTGCCGCTGAGCTATATCCCCAGCCTGTTTTCATGAAAAAACCTGCTGACTGCAGACTAAAATTCCTCCTACTGGGATAATATTTATTCAGAAATGAAATACAATAGTAATACTTCTGTTACAGAGAATACTTTATCCAGAGACTTTTACAGGAAGGAAGATTAGTCTTTATGTAGAAATATTCAGGTCTCATTCACTGCATTTCACATCCTGAAATAAGGATGTCTCTTCATTTGATTTACCTCATTGAAACCAACCATATTTAAGAATTGTCAAAAATAATATAATCAGTTGAGTAAGATCACCAATTAGAAACTATTTCACAGGTAAAATAAACCAAGAAAAATCACCTGTTAAATACAGTGCTAGATGGTGAAAAAAAATATCCATAGTATTTTACAGTTCTTCCCGTTAAGAGGTGGGGTATCTTTCAATATCTCTAGATGTGGAGTGGGCTGGGTGTCTTTATTTGGCTAGTGGAACATTAATAAACATTATATAAAATCGACTTTACAAATGTTTGTGCACAAGAGTATGTTCTGCCTTTTGGAACCTATACATCATATAAAGAAACTAGGTTAGCTAAGAGTGAGTTCAGAGAGAAAAGTCTGGCTTTAAAGACTGTCATGCAGCTGTTCAGTTGAGCAGACCAAATGTGATACACAGAAGCCCACATAATGCTAGTTTTTAAAAGAGTTGTACAAACATAGACTCCGAGACACTGAGAAAGTTCACAATAAAAAAAAGCAAAACCTGTTTCCAATTTTTTATAGACAAAAAGCTGGGCAATGGATCCAGATAAATACATAGCTATTTTGCTTAGGAAAGGACAAATGTGCCAGCAGCAAAACCAAAATCACAGAGAGCAGAGTAAAACAGAGGACTAGAGAACCAGGTCCAGCAAGCTGTGCTCTACTCCAAGTGGAGCGGGAACTGGACCTGTGTGACCGTGCTGGACTTACCAGGTACCAGTGACTCCTATATGGATTCCATGTGTTGGCTGTGGTTCTTTTGGCCTTAACCAACTAATGAATGTTCAGTGGCTTTTCTTTTAGTCAAGACTCTGAACCCATGTATGCTCATTTGCTTTCAGAAAAGATACTAATCCTACGATACTTGTCTGGACCCTGATGCCATGCTTGAAACGGACTTCTGGCAACACTATGAGAGTTGAGAATGCTTTGTATATTAGGAAAATGTAAATAATTGCTGCCAATTGACAATGGTCAATTTGGGGCAGGAGGGCAATAGTTTGTAGCAACTCCCATAAAGATGGCGAGCTTATGTTTCTACCCTTTGCATCTAGGCTAAGAGCTGGAACTTGCTTTAGCTTAAACTTGCTTGAGCTTGAACGTTTAAACTTGCTCCTTTGCTCCTTTTGTGATAGTTGTCATGTGTAGAAGATAGGTCATAGGAAGTAGGCAGATAGAACTTCTTCAAACAGGAAGGGGATCAAGAAATGGAGGGTGGGAGGAGCTACAGGAGGAAAAGGGGATGAAAAAAAGAATTAAGACGAGTTATGTGTGTACCAGCTCCACACAAGGAATGTAAACATGGTGTACTGCGAACATGTACTAACAAAAAGTTAAAAGGTGCTTTGGCTGCCCTTGTAGGTAGAGAAAGATGTGTGGACTGCTGCGTCTCTTGCCTGCACTAGTATCCAGATCAAGTTACTAAACCTTCTGAGATGAGTCAGCCCTCAGCCAATCTTTTAATTGACTGTGCATACATGAATGAGTCAGGTCCTAGTGAGAACCATACAACATTCTCCTGCGCTACATGCAATGATCATTTTAAGTTAGTAAATTTTGGCATGAGTTGTTATACAGAAAAGCTCGTACAAATAATTTTATCAAAATAAACATATATGTTGGAGGTAGGTTATTTAATTTTGCTGGTAGCTGGTAACACGTAGTTCAAGTAATCTCTGCCATAGTCCTTAGGGTTGATTCTTACGGCCAGACTTCAAAATACATGTAGTCCTGCAATAAAAATGACAAATAAATGCAATTAGGTTGGTTGAATGGTAGAAATAGCTACAGATATTAGACATAGGAATGTTTCTTAGGTCTTGTTCTATAATAGCATGAACATAACATATTAAAAACAAAATTCTCAGGATCAGAATGCTCAGGCACCAAAATCTAAGGGCATAGTAATGATTGGTTACTTCTAAAAACAGCAAAGTAACAAATTTGAGTATAAAGGCCCTTAGCTGTCAGCAACAAATTCTAGCTTATTTTATTTATACATATATTTTTATAATTTATATATACTCATAGCAAAACTTGGAAAAGAGAAAGGAAAATGTTATATTCAAACTCTAAAAAATCTGCCATTAATAATTTTGTTCAATTTTTTTCTAGACAGACACAAATGATTTATACTGTGGTTATATTTTGTTATTTTGCTGCATAAAATAGCCTGAGTGTTCAGGTCATTAAAATTCTTCAAAAAACATTTATTTTGAGCCCTTTTTAGTGTGATAACTGTTCAACATACTACTTTACATACATCATATATGCTTTTAAAATTTAGGTAGATTTTTTTTCCCCTCTCCCTCTCTCTCTTTTTTTTTTTTTTTTTTTTTTGGTACTGGGAATTAAACTCAAGGCCTCATGCTTGGCAGGCAGACGCTGTGCCACTAAGCTACATCCCCGCACTCTCTTTATCTTTAAAATGTTTGCCATGTAGATTTTTTTATTGCTTACTACAAAGATTATGCTTAATTACTTGCATCTAAGTGAACGCAAACATTAATTTTTTATATTTTCAATTTACTCCCTAGAAGTTGTACCTGTAGCTCATGAACACTTGATTATCTCTTCCTTTGTTAGCATTTAAACTTTATCCTTAAAAGGAATAAAATGTTATATGATAAATGAAAGGGAATATTTTCTCTCTTTTTATATTTCTTTGTGTGCATTTAAAAATATTATCTTGTGCCCATTGGTGATTTGCATTCTCTGTCAAGTTGCTTGAATTTTTTTCTGTTTGCTTATTTTGTTTTTGTTTTTTTTTTTTGGTACCAGGAATTGAACTCATGACCTCGCACTTGCCAGGCAGGTGCTGTGCCACTGAGCTAAATCCCCAGCCCCAAACAGATTTTCTTTTATTATTATTATTATTAT